TGATGGATGAGAGGGCAATACATGTACAGAAAAGTTAAGTTTTTATTAGTCAAAGTTATTGTCTTAATTGTTACCCCTTCAGTGATACTTGTAGTACTATTATTGACACTTTTGTCTTGTTACACAGTGTGCCTTCCTTTAGCCATGGTAACATAAACCACATTAATTCTTAGTTCCCACTTTCTCATATGACTATAATACATACATGTAGTTTTTCATTGACAAACAAGCAAATACCTCACTGCACTATATACATACTTTGATGCACTATAACTCAAACTATAAAATCAGCCTAACCCCTGACCAAATAATACAAGTAAAATGATGATACACATACATGTAGCTCACAGACAGTAGATACCGGCATGTGTATCCACCAGCAAATAAATCTATGTATATATGCACAGCATTTAATTAACACTTGATAGATTTTCCTACAAAAAATTCTAACCTAGTATAAGATGGAGTATCTCTATGACAGCAGGACGGGTATAGAAACTCTATGGGAGACTGGAAGCCAGAGGCTGTAACAAGAAATAGGCATTTAGACTATTTAGCACTTAGCAGCTTTATAGGACATGCACAGACACGTGTTATCCACGCCTTCTTTAGTTAATTGCTAGTTATAAATTTTAGGTTTCCAATTATGCATGATAGAGTGGTAGGAAAACGTTTCCTGTTTTTTTATTACATTTGCTTCAAAAAGTTTCCGGATCGGGTGAATTATTTTATAAACATTTGTTTGTTTAATGTGACTTGTATTTCACTGCATGTAATGTTTGTGTGAAAACCATTGGTGTATCCATCCAGTATTGCTCAGTATGAATTTGATCTAACTTCATGCAGGAAGTGAGATAAATCAATGTATAACAGTGAATATTGAATACTTAATGCTATTATAATGGACAGTGAGAGGGTGTGAAAGAGGTTTAGTGTTCATTAGAGTTTAGCATTGATTCAAATTGGTGTGACTATCATTCATGTAGGACAGAGGGTTAGGAAGCTGTCATTATCAAATCTGGATCTTGTTTGTGGCTTGTACTACATGTTTATTACAAATATCAGGTGCTTATGGATCTGGGTGCTTCTGAAAAATTTTGAAGGACAAGAAAAATTTGAGAGTAACATTAAAAGTTGTCATTATGCTTGTACATGTAGTAGCATTCAAGCAGTGATTTAGTACAAATATTAATGATCATCATACGTGTTAATGCTGCTATCAATGCTGTGCGCATTAATAAATTAATGCTTGCCGGCTGATGTTGCGCATTTGAATGACGCTGCCATCGATGCTGTGCGCATAACAAATGCTTGCCAGCTGATGTTGTGCATCATTTGTTGATGATTGTTGTAACATGTTCATGTTCTCATTAACAAAAAAATATTGCTTGCACTTTTAAAATTCTTCATGTACACAATGTTATTGTATATTAAGCAGGTCATGAAAGTATTCTGAGGATATCATTAATAAGCAATATTATGTCTAAAATGCATGCATGCACATACATGTATGATCCAATCAGAAAAATTGTAGATGCTAACATTATCATTGTTATTATTGTCACATTCATACTTTATACAGGTACTTATTTGGCACAAGGACTACAATGTGGTGTTAAACAGTGAGGTCTGACTTGGAATGAGACTCAAAAGTATGATTGTGACAAACATAACGTATAACATGCATATACATGTACATGTTTATCACAGTGTATTGTACATGTAGTGGATTATTGGTACTTGTAGTTTTTAATGATTATCATGCATGCAATTTATTCCTTTTATAGTTTGATTTATAGTATGTATAATGGGAGTTACTAGGAATACATAAGTTGATGTGATTGGTTATAAAGTTTGTTCACCATTACTGTTTGTGCTATTGTTATTAGCCTGTAAGTTTACATTACTTGCCTTTGATATGTTTCTGTTGCTATTGCTTTACAGGTAATTACAGCTGAATATGATTTGATGATTCAGCAATAGTTTTGCTTGATATTGGAATGTGCAATAATAATTAAAGGCTATTCTGGATTTAGGCTGTTGTAACTAAATCAATTTCTTTATTATATGTAACTTAGTGTTTTGCTGTAGCTCCTTGATCAGTAGTTTATCACACTGTAGGAGGCACCAGTCTTTAGCAGCATTGGTTTCACATTATTGTAACCTTAACAATGAAATACATAGGAAGATAGAATATTGGGAGTTTACAAAGTGTCTTACATGTATGTATTTTGTTCTAGGTTATTAATCAAGGTTGCATGTATGTATTTTGTTCTAGGTTATTAATCAAGGTTGCATGTATAAAAGAACATAAAAAATTAAAAAAAACAAGATGAAGTAGGATTCCAAATGACCAATGAAAATACGAAATGAAAATCCTACTCGTGACACAATTTCTACTCTACATTGAACTTTTAATGTTAATTACGGATCACCTTGCAATGTAGAGAAGAATTAGTGTCACGAGTAAGATTTTCATTTCGTATTTTCGTTGGTCGTTCGGAATCCTACTTCATCTTGTTTTTTTAAATTTTTTATGTTCTTGTTTGTGTTGATTTTTAAAATAATATTTATAGTATTTCTTTAGTTGCAATTGTGATACTTGTTGATTTTACACAAATAATAATTTTCTTTATTATTATTATCATTGTTATGACTTTACATCATTTATGAGAGGCATTGAATAGACATGCTGAAGGAATATCAACTATATCTACTGATGACAAGTGAAACTAATACTAGTCTTGACACAAGTCCTTGTTCAAGAATCTGTGAGCTAAGAGTGTCCATCTTCCCTGCTATTTCTATTCTTCCAGGCTGTTGTCAAGTTCATAATTATCATTGCATATCATAAATCATAATATTAATTAATTGTTTGTTTTTTAAAATAAAATAAAATAACACACTTGATAAAACAATAACATGTAAAATCAATATCTTCTTTTAGCTAGAAACCTCAACTAAAGTATTGCAGTAGTTGATTCCAAGCATAGCTTGGTAATAAAATAACTTGCTTCTTCCAGAGCTGCAGATCTGAGCATGCGCGACCACACCCAAATTTTGGAGCACATAGCAAGCTTCTTTAATTAACAAAATGGCGGCATGTAGCTAAGATGGCTCAATCCAGCAGTCACAGTATCACTTTTTCCTTACTTAAAGAATGATCTGATGGGACATGGACCTGCACATAGACTGTTGGAGTAGATTGGTGTAAGAACTATCCTTCTGGCATCAATTGATACTGAGATACACACTGACAACTGGACTGACAGGACTTCTGACTTGATGATGATGATGAAGTTGAAAAAGGTGGCTGAACAAAACGGCCGGTTCGCCGATTTTTGGCTTTTCTCTTAGACGAGGTTTAGAGCCACGCTATGGGTACCAATGGAGTCCTCTGGTCAAGATAAGGTCCTCTATAAAGTCTAGTAAGCATAGGAGCTCGTTTTCCCAGTATAGCAAGGCTGCAAATGTCGTGGCAGCCATTTTGTCTGGGGGTGAATCCTACTTAGTAACGCTACCGCGTTACTAATTGTTTGATAATGAAGTCATTAATTTCTTATGGCCACAGTAAATTGTGTATTTACTTGTAATTATAAATGACGTATAGTATATATATATATATGTATAGCATAATGATGACTTCATCTCTTTGATGTGGTGGGTCCTATATTTTGTATATAGCACAGATCTATATTTTTCCTAGATTTACTGTTTAATTGTTAGCCAATAATAAATGAATAGTAATAAAAATCACAACAGTAAATGAATGGAAAATAAATGAACAAAATGAGTAATATGAAAACAGTCAAGTTTAATCTCTTGAGCCTGAGAAATTGAAATTGATGGTACATCCATCCATTTTCTAAAAGTTGAAATGCTTCAGAACACTATTTACATCAGAAGGATCCAAGTTTTCTTTTTCATCAACTGTCTGAACTTTTGGCTCTTCTAATTTATCTACATGTTCCTCCTTCTTCAAATCAATAAGAGGTGTTTTGATTAATGCGTCAGAAACTTTTTTCTTCTGCTCCACAATGGATCACTCATAAGAACATACTCCAGAAATGCTTAAATGACCACTCCTTTCCAAAATTAACTTTTCCGCAATTCCTTCATTTGTACATACTTGAAATCCCGGTAGCTCTCAAACTGTCGTTGGATATATTTTCACTATCGAGACCTGCTTCATCAAAAATCTCCTTTAATTTTCATCCTAATGTATTATGACCAACTGGCATATCATAATACTACAATTTTCCACAAGAAGTTGACTGTGCAGGCTTACAATAAAATAGATCCTTTTCAACTGCTTTCTTTGATAGCTTTGACAAGTACAGATCCATCAAGAAAAGAAAGCACTTCTCACCAAGTTCCTTTTTAGCGTAATGGTAAACTATCTTGTTTTCTAAATGAACCTGATGTATTGAACGAGGCCTGTTTTTCGACCCATGCTCTGTGTATATCAGGCATTTGATCATTTGGGTTTGACCAGATGGATTCCTAACTTCATCGATGTAGAACTGACTGTTTTTCAATTCCCGATGTTCATCACCTCCCCTTAAACATAAATACACTCCACAGTAAAAGAAGACAGCATTTTGTAAAGCTACAGGTGAGTGTACGCCCAATACTCCCATGTCCAACAGCAGGTTTTCTTCCAGATTTGTCACGATACGAGCTTGCACTTTTTCAGTCCCAACACCTTCTTGGTGTAGTTCACAAGACACGTTTAAGACAGTATGAATGCTTTTAAAACGTCCATCCTTCTGAGACATAAAAGGCAAAGCACCCTCATCTTTTGTATGAGCGTAACTCTGTAAGTTGATTAAAATTTGAAGCAAAGACTTCGGCGTGTATGGTCGGCCATTTTGTTACTTCACTTCCAGGCAAAACTGGGATATCATTGTTGAAAACTTCTCGGGGTCTCTAAGGGTCCACAATAATTCTGGCTGGTAGCTCAACTGTTCTGTCCAATCACTGAACAAACAAAAAGCCCAATTAATGCCAGTAGTGGTATTTTTGGGCACATATTTCATTGATATGTGCTCCAATTCTTCACTGGAGGCAACAGAAAACCGCTGCTTCCCTTTTCCAAGTGACAAAGAGAGTCTCCTTTTCTTTTTTTGAGGTGAACTGGCATCTGTTGCCATCACACATTGACGATGATAATAGATTTAAGTCAAAGAGAAAGCTACCTTTGCACTCTTCTTCTTCAGCAAGCTAAAACATGCTCTACTACTGCGCATGCGCAGTTAATTAATATTCATAATAATTAATAGCAAAATGGCCGACAAAAAGAAGTGAGTAGAGATGATGCCATCAATATTCCATATATCCTATGTAGTATACTAGTAGGTCGCATATGCAGAATATAG